TGCCACTCTTTGTTTCCTTGTTACTGACGGTTTCCCTCTTTCTACCTATTATGTGCCTGTTCCTGGTGCTTGCATTCTACAAACTACCCCCTACCCAACATGTTTCGCCTGTACTAAGGCTTTATCGGGGGGGGCGTGCTGAGTGAGTAAATTGCATAGTGCAGTATTGAACAATAAATCCAAGCATACACAAATAAATACTTCAGTTTTACGTCTAGACAAGCTATTTATTACCCCGTCACAGTTTATATATTTAATAAGAATTCTGGAGATTATGTTGAGCTTGCAGTGTAACAAAATGTAATGTAAACACCTGAATTCTTCTTTTCTTACTCCGTGCAAAAGAAATTAGACTAGGGAAGAGGAAATTAGATTACTAGTAGCAAATCAGATGTGCTGCATGCACATATGTGACAGGGAACATGCTAAACCATGAAGAGGAAGCACTCTGAACAAAGAAGAAAATTGATGGTTGCTGCTGCTCCTATGCTGTTCAGTCACAGGATGAGGTGACCTAGCTTTATTTCTTAATACAGTAAAGTTAGGTCACCAACCTGGCTGTACAGTCTGGCAGGATCCAGTAAACTTCAGGACTTGTTAGACAAAAATGTAAATATTTTGGCAGGTCAAATAGCTGCCATAACTGTAATTCTTCTGTGCATTTAGCTGATTTCCTGGAGTTAAGCTTTAAAGAAGAGTTCCGCCCCCCCTCCCAAAAAAGTCAGCAGTTACAAATACTGTAGCTACTGACTATTAACCCCTTGACACCAAGCATATGCAAATTAGTGGCCTCACAGAACTGGGCTATTTTCTGTGGGGCCACTAATTGGCGCGCTACTAGCACAAAGACCAGGGTGTCAGCAAGAGCTCCAGGTCCCCTTCTAATGATCGGGTCACATGATCGCTGTGATAGCCTCTGATTGGCTATCACAGTGCTCAGTCACTGTAAAGCCCGCCCCCTTGTTTTCTCCCTCTGAATGGAGGAGAGAGATACATTGTACCTCTTTGTGTCCTTTCAGAGAAAAAAAAGTATGTGTGTAAAAATATATATAAATAAATAAATGAATAAATAAAAATACCTAGATCAAGGTTTGATCTAGATCAGTGCTAAGGTTAGTGTTTGAGTCAAGGTCAGGGTCAAAGGTCAGCGTCAATAGTCCTGGACAGTATTTTTTTCTTTTGTCAGGATTTTTATTTTTTAATGTTTAAATTAGTATCAGTGTCAGTTAGTGGCAGGATATAAAAAAGAAGCAAATTGCGTACTATTGTTTCTGGGCTGTATTACAGGTACAAACAACAACTAACATACACACATGTGGTATCACTGCAATTGTCAGGAACAGGAGAAATTATTTTGGGTTCTTCCTTGGTGGTTGGGTATGGTAGTAGCAAGAAATATACAGCTAAATACAAAAAAATGTTTTGGGTCAGTTTTCCTTTGATAAAAAAAAAATCTGGAGATATCCATTACCGTTTACCACCAAATGAAAGCCCAATTTGTCCTGAAAAAAACACGGTATTATCCAGCTGCATGTACAAAGTAGTTGTGATGATATGTTTTATAATGTTTTTTTTATTAATACATGTCAAAGTTGCAAAGTTGTGCTTAGGCTTTAAGATTTGTTTTACCCTTAGGCGTGAAGGGGTTAATATTAGGGCACTTATCTGTCCAGGGATCCAGCGGTGTCCTCACCCTGAGCCGATTCTTCAATCGGCTGTCAGGTGCTGGTGCTGCTATCTTGACTAAGGGAAATTGGTACAGCCAAATTCCTACAGTGCATGCTTTGTGAATGGACCGCAGTCTTTTGGGACCTATGAAATGTCCCAGAGGGCTGTGGGAGGAAAGGAATGGGGGGGCAACTTCCAGCTCAGTTCATCGCGGTCCCTGACCCCCAAAAGGTGGCAAATGCTAACAGTGGAGCTGGATGCTGGTACACTCTGGCACTTCACATTGTTTACTTTTTTTTCATTTTGTACAAACTTTGTTATAATTTCACAAAGTAGTATTTCATTAAGTTCTGTTGAGTGGAGCAGCTGGACCTTTGCCATGAACTACTTGTAGTACTTAAAACACTTATTAACTTACAAGGGAGCAGAAACAGAGAGGCGTCTGTAAGTTGGGGGAGGGGTGGTCTCTTTCTGTCCTTTCAGAGAAAAAAAAAGTATGTGTTAATAAAATATATAAATAAATAAATAAATAAAAAAAATACCTAGATCAAGGTTTGATCTAGATCAGTGCTAAGGTAAGTTGGGGGAGTGGTGGTAGTTGGGGGTCTGTCAGTAGGGGGGAGGAGCAGTAGCTGGGAGGTGGTCTGTCAGTGGGGGAGGGGTCAGTCAACTACTACCCATCCCCACCCTGACAGACCCCCACCCCCATCTACTGCCTCCTTCCCCCGCTGACAGACCACACCCACTAACTAATGGCCCCTCCTCCCAGTGACAATGTCCACCCCTAATGACAGAACTCCACCTGCCCAACTACCACCCCCACTCTCCACTGACAGACCCCTACCCCCTAACTATAGCCCCCCCACTCCCACCTCACTGACAGACCCCCCAACTACCACCCCCCCACTCCCCACTGAAAGACCCCCACCTCCCCAACTACAGCCCCTCACTACCCACTGACAGACCCCTCATTCGCCAACTACCGCTCCCCTTCCCACTGACAGACCCCACCCCCAAATACCACCCCCTCATTTCCCACTGACAGACTCCCCCCAACTACTGACCCCACTCTGCACTGGTATGTACCATATTGGGTTTAATACTGTAGTAGTGGAAGGTACTTAGGAACTTCTAAAAGTCCATGGGCTAGGTGGCACAAATGACTTGCCTTGCCCTGGGCACTGACAACCCACCCTACACCACTGGCTGTACATTGCTGTGAATAAGGTGTACATGTTGTACAATTCAAATAAAGTTTGTACAAAACAAATAGAGGAGCCGTGTGATGTGCACCACACTGCCCTCTACTGCAAATGGTAAAGAACTGCAGAAGCTCTCTGTTATGTGTGAATTAAGCCTAAATGAGGGTTATAACCCTTGTCAGTTATTGCCATATGTGTGTTATTGGGGAGATTTCCCTCCACTTCCTCTATAATGGCCAAAACAGGAAGTGAGAGGAAACCCCTGCAAATTAAGAGAATTCATTGGGGCCTCCCAGGTCACCAAAACTAGTTTCCCCATTGGAAGATTTCCCCTATTACTTTTCTGGGGAAAAAAACAAAATGTAAGACTTTTACCTTAACTGTCAGTGATAATGGTCAACCGAACAAATGGAGAGAGTGAATCTCCCTAACAGGAACACAGACAGCAATAAAAACTGACAGGTATTCCAATCCCTCCTCATTCTATCCAAAACTGAAAAGAAAAAAAGTTTTTCCTTTAGTTATACTTTAAGAGATAAACCAATTTATAGAAGGAATACATATCTGTATTGTCAACCCAAGTAATGCATTTTTTTTTTTTTCATTACAGTGGTAAAAACTGTTGGTCTGAAGTGAGATCTTCTCTCCTTGGGGATAGCAGACTAATGGAGGACATATTGTTCAGGAGAAGGTACTGTGTAACACTCTCATTCCCCCCATCCCATGGGAAGATGTGGTGGTGACTTTTAGATAGTAAAACCACACTGAACTTGGTTTAACTACAAAAGTGGAATTTGGAATCTTGCTTTGTGGTTTGGACTGCATTCCTGCAGGGTGCCACTCCCTAAGAAAGTTTTGCTATGTGCTAAGCACAAATAATCCACTGTAGAGTACTTCAACTGTGTTGAAAAAAAAAAAAAATTGTTTTAAAATAAGAAGATCTTTAAACACTATATCAAAAGCTAATGTGCACTCCAGAACCTGAAAAGGCGGTGTCTTTTGTGCCAGGGCCTTAACTATGAGTGATAAGGCCCCATGTTGTTAAGGGGCCCCCTGTCACTCTACTCTCTAAGACAATTCCTTTGCATCCAGGTGCCTGTATTCCCTGAAGGAAGGTGGGTGCAAAGATGCTGGCTACGGCTGCTCTCCATGCCATGCAGGACTCCCTGATTGGCATGTCCGATGCTCTCTTGCTTATGCACAATAGGGGGAGCTATGGGGGCAAGAAGAACTAGAACAACTATGATGCAACCGTGCTGGATTATGGGAGTTGTAGTTGGTAAAAGGCACTGTGCTTTAGAGGAGCATGGGGCTGCAGACTACATTGCTCAGAGAACTATGTATATTACTATAAACTCATGCGCTGCTATATGTGTATTTCCAGATTTGATGTTGTAAGGATATACATTAAAGGATACTTTCCCATTTGGGAACATGTTGCATGTTCCACCCCTTTTTAGGGTGGAGCAAGTAACATGTTCTCAATGCTGCAGCTGCTGCCCGATCTCCCCACCCTCTCCGTGACAACAGTATGGGGAGAAGTTCCCTGTACTAGCTGTCAGTTTTTAAAAACAGCGTGGCTGTGCTGGGTTGCACCCACATGGATGTATCATTTATTCACTTCAGTATTTTTTCTGTGAATGAATGAACTACAAGTTCCGACAGCGGCTGTCAGCTTGTAGTTCTCAATTAACTACCTACCGTATGGGCAAGCAGATATACAGACAGGTCTGCAGGAGATCTGCATGGCACCAGCAATCTGGTGATCGCTTCTACAATGTTTACAAGCTCCTGCAACAAAAAAATAATAAATGCTCATTTTTTTTAACTTGCAAATAAATGTGCATTTATTATTTTTTGGCAAAAGGTGAAAATATCCTTTAAGGGTATATGGTGTTTTTTTTGCACTGTATCACACACAACTATTACGTTTAATATTTGGATTTGTTGCAAGATTGATGGTTATGTGTCTTCACAGTATTGCAGGTTTATGACTAATGTTTAATGGTATATAGGATTCACATTTTGGTATATACACTATATTGCCAAAAGTATTGGGACACGTCTCCAAATCATTGGATTCAGGTGTTCCAATCACCTCCATGACCACAGATATATAAAATCAAGCACCTAGGTATGCAGACTGCTTCTACAAACATTTGTGAAAGAATGGGTCGCTATCAGGAGCTCAGTGAATTCAAGCATGGTACCGTAATAGGTTGCCACCTGTGCAATAATTCCATCTGTGAAATTTCCTTGCTACTAAATATTCCACGGTCAACTGTTAGTTTTATTATAACAAAGTGGAAGCATCTCGGAACAGGAACTCAGTGCATCCTGAAGCGCACAGTGTGCAGAAATCGCCAACTGTCTGCAGAGTCAATAGCTAAAGACCTCCAAACTTCGTGTGACCTTCAGATTAGCACAACAACAGTGCATAGAGAGCTTCATGGAATGGGTTTCCATAGCCGAGCAGCTGCATCCAAGCCTTACATAACCAAGTAAAATGCAAAGTGTTGGATGCAGTGGTGTAAAGCATGCTGCCACTGAACTCTAAAGCAGTGGAGATGTGTTCTCTGGAGTGACAAATGATGCTTCTCGGTCTGGCAAGCCGATGGCCGATACTTGCCTGACTACATTGAGCCAAGTGTAAACTTTGGTGGAGAGGGGATTATTTTATGGAATTGTTTTTCAGGGGTTGGGCTTGACCCCCTAGTTCCAGTGAAGGGAACTCTTAAGGCATCAGCATACCAAGACATTTTGGCTAATTCCATGCTCCCAACTTTGTGGGTACAGTTTGGGGATGGCCCCTTCCTGTTCCAATATGACTGCACATCAGTGTACAAAGCAAGGTCCATAAAGACATGGATGAGTGAGGGCTGCCTATACCTAGTAGTTTATAAATCACTGCATACAGAGTTTTAAGAGACATTTTAGCTGTGCACCACCTTAAAGAGGGGACCTCACCAATTGGCTTGCTGTCAGGAGCAAGATATGTGTCAACTGCTTGATGGGAACCCTGGACTGATGCTGTTCCTTGTTGGGTTATCTTGCTTAGTGGTATAGTGATTTAGACTGAGCTGCTATTACTTAGTAATTACCTCATTCAGTTTACATTGAGTAAAATCTTTCTTCCACCTGCTCATATATGTTTGCGCATTGTTACAATATTTACTTTTGTCCTGTTATAATATACTTGCTTTACTTACAAAAAATAGCCTGGTGCCTTTTTCCTGCTATCCTAGCATAGTTGCGTTATACGTGTGTTCACATAGGTGTTTGCAGCATCCCATTATTTAACCCCTTGACACCGACCACACACAAATATGCAGCCTCACTGCACTGGGCTTTATGCTGTGGGGACGCATATTTGTGTATCTCCCTTTGTGCTGGGTGCTCGTTGCATGGCACAGAGACCGGGGTCTCACCACGAGCCTCGGGTCCCGTACTAACGATCGGGACCCGGAACTCCCAATACCAGGTCACCTGATTGCTATGATAGCCTCTGATTGGCTATTACATTGATCAGTCACTGTGAAGCCTGCCCCTCTGGAGTGGAGTGGAGAGAGATACATTGTATCTGTCCCTGTTCTTTCAGAGAGACAAAACCAACAGTGTGTAAAATAAATAAAGAAATATTAAAAAATACAGAAAACATACTTAGATCCAGGTTTGATCTAGGACAGTGCCAGGATTAGCGTTTGGGTAAAGGTCAGGGTCAAAGGTCAAGAGTAAGGGTCAGTATATTTTGGGCAGGATATAAAAAAAAAAATAGTATCAGTGTCAGTTAGTGTCAGTGTCGGTGTGTTTTAGGTAGGACAAAAAAAACCACACATATACATATATTGTTTCTGGGCTGTACTACAGGTACAAACAACAAATAACATACACATATGTGGCATTGCTGTGATCCTAAGGAGCAGGAGAATTTTTTGGGGTTGTTCTTTGGTGGTAGGTTATGGTAGTAACAAGAAATATACAGCTATTTTTTTTTTTTTGTAATTATTTTGGGCCAGTTTTCATTTGATAATAAAAACTTTGAAAAATATTCGTTACCATTCACCACCAAATGAAAGCTCAATTTTCTAAATTCCATTTAGCAGTTTGTATAGCTAGTAAAGATGGCTGCCAGCCTCACATGTGGACTAGGCAGCAAATAACGTCAGCATGGCAAGCTCCTCGCTGACGTGTTTCGTGCAAGAGCACGTTGTCAAAGGGATTAGATTAAACCCTTTGACAATGTGCTGTCGCACGAAAAGTGTCAGGGAGGAGCTTGTCGAACTGACGTCATTTGCTGCCTAGTCCACATGTGAGGCTGGCTCTTTTGAGCTATTTAAAGGTGGATATTTATTGGTGCTGACCTGATTGATGCCTGGGTGTAGTGAAACCGAGAAGCTGTCCTGGCTGGCTGTGAGGGTCTTACTAAGAGGTCTGGAGTTCGTTTCCAGGGTGTACAAAGTGCCTGAGAAGTACCATATCCTTACCGGTTCCTTAGATGACCACGAGTGCCCTTTTGAGTGTCATATACATGCGCAATTATATTGTGCGTCTGGCAGGGGCGGACTGACAATTCATGGGGCCCCCGGGCAATAGGGGATCATGGGGCCCCTGTGTCCTTGCCCAAACTCAAAAAAGCCTATGAAAAAGGTACCAGGGGCATCTCATGGGGCCCCCTACTGACCCCTGGCCCTCGGGCAGTGCCCGAGTTTCCAAATGGTCAGTCCACCCCTGGCGTCTGGTGAGTGCAAGCACACTTCTTTTTCTTATCCACAGAAGTCATGAGCACCTATTGATGTAATTCCAGTGGGAGCGACCATTATCCCCAGACACTGATTGATCTGTGCACCTATAAGGAAAAGTTATTCCCACTGTTTGGACTATTATGCATTTATACTATTGCTACTCGTCTTTTTTAAGACGACGCACTATTGTCACTTTATTGCGTTCATTTATAGCACATTGTTTTATCACTTGTCACTTTGCAATTCAATTTATTTGATTTAATGATATTATCATATTTATATAGTTGTCCTAGCGCTGCATTTTGATATACAACTGATGTGAACTATGACATTGACAACCATATAACCTACTTTCTCTGCATTTTGAATGCAGAAAAAAGCACATTGAAACACATGTAGTGTGAACTGGCCTTTAGAGTCAAAGTTAACTAAAAAAAATCAGCACAAGTAACTATGCTTACGATAGATGCCATGTTTTCCTTGTGCTGTTCTCTCTTCTTTAGTAGAAATCCTCTTGCACTCATTCCCCTAACCCATGTAGCTATAATCCTATGGTGTGGTAGGGGCTAATGGAGCTGTGACGTCAAGAGTGCCCAATTATGTGTTACCATTTATGTCCAGCTTTTCAATTCATTGAATCTGTACTACAGCTTCTATAAATAAAACAGTATCAATGAATGAAGGACAGGCAGATAATTGAAAGGTCTGGCCCTTCCATTCATAGAAGCTATATTATGGCTTTTATGAATGGAGGAGCTGGGTGGAAAGGGCAGGCATTGTTTGACAATCTTGATGAGCGGCTGTTACAGCTCTGTCCGTTAACCCCCATGGCACCAGAATATAATGGAGGAAGAGCGGAGAAGGACTTCTACTAAAAGATGAAACAGCTGTCCTTTATTAGAGACTGGAATAAGAAATAAACTGCATGCACGTGAACAAAAAATGGAGATCAGCTGACACAGGATAGTTTCACATGGCTGTCAGTTCAGTTCAGTTTAATGAATAATGATTCAGGTTACATCAGTTTTCATATCTGTCTTCAGTTCAGTTTACATCAATTTACATTCATCTTGGCATCTGTTTTGTGAGTCCCATGCACACTGGGTATTTACCCAGGGCCGGATCTAGGGGGGTGCTGGGGTGGGTTGTGCCCCCTAGATTTTAGCTGTGCCCTCTCCCAGGTCTCTGAGAGTGCATCCACTAATCCACGAGACAGTCTGATGCAGACAGTTGATGTAAGGAGGCACCCTAATGATAACAATCCATGTAAGGGGGCACTCTGATGGGGGATGGGAACACCTGATGTAAGGGGGATTCTGCTGAGAACCTGATGTAAAGGTGGATTTTGATGGGGATCTGGAAGTAAGGGGGCTCTGATGGGGACCTGGATGTAAGGTGGGCTCTGATAGGGACCCAGATGTTAAGGGGACGCCTAGAAGACAGACTCTGAATGGGACTGTGATGTAAGGGGGAACTCTGATGGGAACCTGATATAAAGGGGAGACTGATGAGGACTCCTGATATAAAGGGGGCCTCTGATAGGACCATCTGATATAAAGGGGCACAAGTTCTTTTCAATCTGATCTAAAACAGCCTAACACATACTAGTATTTTCCAAGTTGTGACACTGTGAAAGACTTACAAAGTGTTGACATTATGCTCCCTGACTTTTTTTTTACTGCACCCCCAAATCAGATAGCCTAGATCTGGCCCTGTATTTACCCCCAATGCATGAGGATCTGGTGTTAAGCTGTGGGTGGAGGGCACAGGTGTCTCATCTAGCACTGCTTCTGGCAGCCTGTCAAACTCTACAGGAAGCTGACATCTGCTGAAGCTGGATGGGGTATCTAGTGGTATGGATGTCTAGAGTAGTATGCTCAGAGGGATGAATGCCTGGAATGCAAATGGCATGTGTTCTGGGCCTTCATCCCAGGGCACATACTGCCCTAAAAGTCTATACCTTTATGTGCAAAGTTCAACCTTTCAAAATAAATCTTTGCACTTAGAATAAATAATACATGAAAAATCATTTGACACAGAAATGGATAAAATCCTTCAACATAATAAATAGCAAAACAAGTGCAGTGCTGGATAGTGTCAAAAACAAATTGATTCATACAAAAAAATGTGCAAATTTTTTTTTTCCAAGATGCTGAAGAAACTAGTCATAGGTGAAAAAGTATACACAAAAATATTTTTTTGCCTAAAAACAGACACACAAAGAACAAATTGAAATATATGGCATCTGTTTACATTTGTTTATGTTCACAAAAAGCGAAAAAGCACACAGAACTTTTTTTTTTGGGTACATAATCTGACTTGTATGGAAGCATATGTCCATTTGCATCTGTCTGCCCAAAGACATACATTGTGGTTCAGTTTAGATTGTCTGAAAACTGACAGACCGATCCAGACTAAGCATTCATGAGAATCACAGTTGAAACACTTTTCAGAGGTGGTTGACAAGCAGTAAGTAGGGGATATATCACTCCCTCAAGGCCTGTTTTAACCTTATTATTATTATTATTATTATACAGGATTTATATAGTGCCAACAGTTTGCTCAGCACTTTACAATATAAAGAGAGACAATACAGCAAAGATACAGTTCAATAAAAAAGGGTTAAGAGGTCCCTGCTCCTTGGAGCTTACAATCTAAGAGGGAGGGGCTGGTGGTATAAAAGGTAAAAACTGTGGGGGATGAACTGATAGGAGAAATAGAAGATTTGGTTATTAGCTGAAGGCAGAATAGGCTTCCCTGAAGTGATAGGTTTTCAGAGATCACTTAGGTGATAGTTGGATAGACTGGGGTAGAGAGTTCCAGAGGATGGGGAGTCTCTGGAGAAGTCCTGGAGACGAGCATGGGAGGAGGAGACAAGGGAGCTAGACAGCAGGAGGTCATGGGAGGAGCAGAGAGGACGGTTTGGGTGACATGAGCGAAGAAATGAAAAAAATTCGATTCGACTGATTCGGCGAATTCGTGGACAATATTCGATTCGAGTCGAATAAATTCGCTGTGAATTTAACTTAAAAAAGGGTGTTTCTAGGCTTCAGAGAGACTTAATATTAGTGCAGAACACTGTACCTTTAATTTAAATGCCCTTGGAGTCTGCTGGGGAAGAGAAATAATACTGTCACTCAGTATGACATGCAGATGAGTGCCGTCGATCTTAGAATCACCGCACACTTCACTCATTTGGCCAGTCACGGGGCCAAAACCAGTGTTTGGAGCCACAGTGTGGCGGTGGAGGCAGCAGCAATGGGAGGCCATACAGCAACCTATGACAAAATGGAAACCAGCAGGAGTGTGAGGAGACCTGAAAGTGGCACATGCAGTGGAAGCAATGGGAGGCGGTACAAGGACCCATGTCACACTGTGGACCCAGCAGCAGCGTGACCAGGCGGTACGGGGGCCCATGGCAGATTACAGGCCTGGCAGCAGCAATGGGAGGCCCGTAATCTGCCAGCACCCTATGACAAAAAATGGAACACACCAGCAGTGTGTGAGGAGACCTGAAAGTGGCACATGGCAGAGTGTGGCGATGGAGACAGCAGCAATGGGAGGCCGTACAGGGACCCATGAGAGACTCTGGACCTGGCAGCAGCATGAGGAGGCGGTATAGGGGGCCCATGGCAGATTAGGGGCCTGGCAGCAGCTATAGGAGGCCCGTAATCTGCCAGCACCCTATGACAAAAAATTGAACACACCAGCAGTGTGTGAGGAGACCTGAAAGTGGCACATGGCATGAGACACTCTGGACCTGGCAGCAGCATGAGGAGGCGGTATATAGGGGCCCATGGCAGATTAGGGGCCTGGCAGCAGCTATGGGAGGCCCGTAATCTGCCAGCACCCTATGTCAAAAAATTGAAAACACAAGCAGTGTGTGAGGAGACCTGAAAGTGGCACATGTTTGGGGCATGATTCATGGCGGATTTAGTCAGTTGTGTCAGGAACTGGTGGTTTGAAATCCAGACTAATCCACGCCTGATTCATTTTCACAAACGTGAGTCTCTCCACACTTTGGGTGGACAGTCGTGTCCTCCGCGGAGTTGCAATACCTCCTGCCGCACTAAACACGCGCTCCGATGCCACGCTACTGGCCGGGCATGACAGCCTTTCAAGGGCAAATTCAGCTAGTTGGGGCCAAAGGTCAAGTTTCGTTGCCCAGTAGTCAAGGGGATTGTCTACCTCGGTTGGCAGGGTGCTGTCAAGTAGGCCTAAGCCTGTTGTTTGAGGTCCTGCTCCAGGTCCACCTGATGCTGCTGCTGCTGCTGGCGGCTGGTTAGTAGTTTCCTCACTGCGCTGGTGAAGAAAGCTACTCATCATCGACTGCAGACTGAGGCAGCCGCTGCTGGTGGAGCTGCCACTGCTCCTACCACCCCCCCCTCCCCTGCTGCCATGGCAGCGGAACGCGAGCGCACAGGGCCCACAGTGTCTGAGGATGGACGTTGGCGCGCAGAAAGGCAGAGACCAGCTGACTACATAGGTGGTTTTTATAGTACGTTATTTTGGCCTCCCTCTCAGCAGGTGTGAAAAAGGCCACCATTTTTGAACGGTAGCGAGGGTCCAACAAGGTGGACAGCCAAAAGTCATCCCTCTGTCTGATGGTTATTATTCGGCTGTCGCTACGCAAGCAAGCGAGCATGCTATGGGCCATTTGTGCCAAGGAATGCGAGGGACTCCCTGCCTCCATCTCCACAGCATACTGCCACGGTGCTCTGGGTCCTCTCTGTCTCCTCCTCCTCCTCCTCTACCAGATGCTCCTGCTCCTCCACTCCTGTCCGCTGAGTGGAAAAAAAACCACCCATTTCACTCAATAATTCCTGAGCACCAATGTCCTCCTCTACCTCCTCCTCTTCTTCCTGTCCTGCCCCACAGGGGTCATGTGGCGTTGAGATCTGTGCGCCACGTCTACCGCACCCTGACCAGCCATTGTTAACAGCATTTTGTTCCAGGACGTGCAACAGAGGAATGACGTCGTTCATCCCATAGTCCTGCCGACTCACGAATAGCGTGGCCTCCTCAAAGGGCCTGAGCAAGCGCAGGTGTCACGCATGAGCTGCCAATGGCTGACATCTAAGTTACACAGGGAGTACCTTTATCCGCTTTTAACATCAGGAAATCTGTGATGGCCTTTCGCTGTTCGTAAAGGCGGTCTAACATATGTAGGGTTGAATTCCACCTTGTTGCAACGTCACAGCATGAGGAGTCGGTACGGGGGCCCATGGCAGATTAGGGGCCTGGCAGCAGCAATGGGAGGCCCGTAATCTGCCAGCACCCTATGTCAAAAAATTGAACACACCAGCAGTGTGAGGAGACCTGAAAGTGGCACATGGCAGAGTGTGGCGATGGAGACAGCAGCAATGGGAGGCCGTACAGGGACCCATGAGAGACTCTGGACCTGGCAGCAGCATGAGGAGGCGGTATATAGGGGCCTATGGCAGATTAGGGGCCTGGCAGCAGCTATGGGAGGCCCGTAATCTGCCAGCACCCTATGTCAAAAAATTCTACACACCAGCAGTGTGTGAGGAGACCTGAAAGTGGCACATGGCAGAGTGTGGCGATGGAGACAGCAGCAATGGGAGGCCGTACAGGGACCCATGAGAGACTCTGGACTGGCAGCAGCAGCATGGAGGCGGCGGTATATAGGGGCCTATGGCAGATTAGGGGCCTGGCAGCAGCTATGGGAGGCCGTAATCTGCCAGCACCCTATGTCAAAAAATTCTAACACACCAGCAGCAGTGTGAGGAGACCTGAAAGTGGCACATGGCAGAGTGTGGCGATGGAGACAGCAGCAATGGGAGGCCGTACAGGGACCCATGAGAGACTCTGGACCTGGCAGCAGCATGAGGAGGCGGTATATAGGGGCCTATGGCAGATTAGGGGCCTGGCAGCAGCTATGGGAGGCCCGTAATCTGCCAGCACCCTATGTCAAAAAATTCTACACACCAGCAGTGTGTGAGGAGACCTGAAAGTGGCACATGGCAGAGTGTGGCGATGGAGACAGCAGCAATGGGAGGCCGTACAGGGACCCATGAGAGACTCTGGACCTGGCAGCAGCATGAGGAGGGGGCGGTATATAGGGGCCCTATGGCAGATTAGGGGCCTGGCAGCAGCTATGGGAGGCCCGTAATCTGCCAGCACCCTATGTCAAAAAATTCTACACACCAGCAGTGTGTGAGGAGACCTGAAAGTGGCACATGGCAGAGTGTGGCGATGGAGGAGACAGCAGCAATGGGAGGCCGTACAGGGACCCATGATGAGAGACTCTGGACCTGGCAGCAGCATGAGGAGGCGGGTATATAGGGGCCTATGGCAGATTAGGGGCCTGGCAGCAGCAGCTATGGGAGGCCCGTAATCTGCCAGCACCCTATGTCAAAAAATTCTCAACACACCAGCAGTGTGAGGAGACCTGAAAGTGGCACATGGCAGAGTGTGGCGATGGAGACAGCAGCAATGGGAGGCCGTACAGGGACCCATGAGAGACTCTGGACCTGGCAGCAGCATGAGGAGGCGGTATATAGGGGCCATGGCAGATTAGGGGCCTGGCAGCAGCTATGGGAGGCCCGTAATCTGCCAGCACCCTATGTCAAAAAATTCTACACACCAGCAGTGTGTGAGGAGACCTGAAAGTGGCACATGGCAGAGTGTGGCGATGGAGACAGCAGCAATGGGAGGCCGTACAGGGGGGGAGGCCGTAATGAGAGACTCTGGACCTGGCAGCAGCATGAGGAGGCGGTATATAGGGGCCTATGGCAGATTAGGGGCCTGGCAGCAGCTATGGGAGGCCCGTAATCTGCCACCCTATGTCAAAAAATTCTACACACCAGCAGTGTGAGGAGACCTGAAAGTGGCACATGGCAGAGTGTGGCGATGGAGACAGCAGCAATGGGAGGCCGTACAGGGACCCATGAGAGACTCTGGACCTGCAGCAGCAGCATGAGGAGGCGGTATATAGGGGCCTATGGCAGATTAGGGGCCTGGCAGCAGCTATGGGAGGCCCGTAATCTGCCAGCACCCTATGTCAAAAAATTCTACACACCAGCAGTGTGTGTGAGGAGACCTGAAAGTGGCACATGGCAGAGTGTGGCGATGGAGACAGCAGCAATGGGAGGCCGTACAGGGACCCATGAGAGACTCTGGACCTGGCAGCAGCATGAGGAGGCGGTATATATGCCTATGGCAGATTAGGGGCCTGGCAGCAGCAGCTATGGGAGGCCCGTAATCTGCCAGCACCCTATGTCAAAAAATTCTACACACCAGCACCAGCAGTGTGAGGAGACCTGAAAGTGGCACATGGCAGAGTGTGGCGATGGAGACAGCAGCAATGGGAGGCCGTACAGGGACCCATGAGAGACTCTGGACCTGGCAGCAGCATGAGGAGGCGGTATATAGGGGCCTATGGCAGATTAGGGGCCTGGCAGCAGCTATGGGAGGCCCGTAATCTGCCAGCACCCTATGTCAAAAAATTCTACACACCAGCAGTGTGAGGAGACCTGAAAGTGGCACATGGCAGAGTGTGGCGATGGGAGACAGCAGCAATGGGAGGCCGTACAGGGACCCATGAGAGACTCTGGACCTGGCAGCAGCATGAGGAGGCGGTATATAGGGGCCTATGGCAGATTAGGGGCCTGGCAGCAGCTATGGGAGGCCCGTAATCTGCCAGCACCCTATGTCAAAAAAAATTTAACACACCAGCAGTGTGTGAGGAGACCTGAAAGTGGCACATGGCAGAGTGTGGCGATGGAGACAGCAGCAATGGGAGGCCGTACAGGGACCCATGAGAGACTCTGGACCTGGCAGCAGCATGAGGAGGCGGTATATAGGGGCCTATGGCAGATTAGGGGCCTGGCAGCAGCTAGGGAGGGCCCGTAATCTGCCAGCACCCTATGTCAAAAAAATTCTACACACCAGCAGTGTGTGAGGAGACCTGAAAGTGGCACATGGCAGAGTGTGGCGATGGAGACAGCAGCAATGGGAGGCCGTACAGGGACCCATGAGAGACTCTGGACCTGGCAGCAGCATGAGGAGGCGGTATATAGGGGCCTATGGCAGATTAGGGGCCTGGCAGCAGCTATGGGAGGCCCGTAATCTGCCAGCACCCTATGTCAAAAAATTCTACACACCAGCAGTGTGTGAGGAGACCTGAAAGTGAAAGTGGCACATGGCAGAGTGTGTGGCGATGGAGACAGCAGCAATGGGAGGCCGTACAGGGACCATGAGAGACTCTGGACCTGGCAGCAGCATGAGGAGAGGAGGGTATATAGGGGCCTATGGCAGATTAGGGGCCTGGCAGCAGCAGCTATGGGAGGCCCGTAATCTGCCAGCACCCTATGTCAAAAAATTCTACACACCAGCAGTGTGTGAGGAGACCTGAAAGTGGCACATGGCAGAGTGTGTGGCGATGGAGACAGCAGCAATGGGAGGCCGTACAGGGACCCATGAGAGACTCTGGACCTGGCAGCAGCATGAGGAGGCGGTATATAGGGGCCTATGGCAGATTAGGGGCCTGGCAGCAGCTATGGGGGGCCCGTAATCTGCCAGCACCCTATGTCAAAAAATTCACACACACCAGCAGTGTGTGAGGAGACCTGAAAGTGGCACATGGCAGAGTGTGGCGATGGAGACAGCAGCAATGGGAGGCCGTACAGGGGACCCATGAGAGACTCTGGACCTGGCAGCAGCATGAGGAGGCGGTATATAGGGGCCTATGGCAGATTAGGGGCCTGGCAGCAGCTAT